GGTTTGTGTGATGGGTAAATACAAGGTAGAGCACAACTCTGGAGCTGAAAGGTGCCTTATTTATTTATTTTTAAAATAAAAGTCTATATATTGAGCTCCTTTTTACTCTTATTCTCCCTGATAAAATCATCCAAATTACCTCCAGGACTACTCTAGTCGGTATTTAATAAATCTGTGTTATTTAATCTTAAGATAAATACTTTTGCAATGCACTGTGTATCATAACACAGTGACCCAATTACTTTCCATCTGTGATGTTTCCATATTTGTTATCTAGAGCAAGTACATCTTCAGGGTAAAACAGCTCTCAATTTAGGTTTGGAATTAAAGAAAACATTGAACACATCAAGACATCCAAGAGTTGGTATGGAGAAGCTCTCATCCCACTGGTACCAGTGCACAGCCATGCCTGAGTCTCTTTTCCATTACTATGATTGCCTGCAAAAGGTGGTGGGATGCTAAGTGCATTCACTCTGCCAGACAGCTTCATAAACCGGCTACTGATGATTCCCAGTGGGCCCCTCATCAGCGGCAGAGCGCAGTGAAGCGCCTGAGGACTCTGCTCTCGGAAGTCACAACAGTTCTCCTGCCTATAGAGGGATAATAGTGAGAGGGAAGGGTAGAAAAACAAGATGGCTGCTAAGCAATTGCATCTGTTGAATGGCTCATAGGGAGGTCATCCAGGGAGTAATGAGGTGAAGCGCTGCAGTCGAGCAGCAACTGTCAATCAGTGTGGAGATGGTTGGGTTATAATGAGCGCCTGTTGTGAGTAAGCACCTACATAACTTGGCAGCTCAGTTGAATGTAGACCACCTTTCAGCATCTGCCTCTCTTTCTTTAATCCCTTTCATCCCTCATCCAACCCCCCTGCTCATTGGGAACTAGACAAGTAAAGCTAGCCATGGACAATTTCCCAAGTATAATCCAACATCTGTCTTCCTCATGTCTCCTACTTTGGCACGAAAACATTCCCTCCCTCCCTGCATCTTATCTCCCTCCCTCCCCTCTCGTCGGTAGCCGTCACAGCCACCGAACGATTTCCTCTCACAGGGAGCTTTCTCAGAGTCATTGTGGCAGTGTCAAACCAGGCTCCTATTTAAGCTCATTAAATCTTTCCAAGAGAATAGGAAATCAATGGTCCATACCGGTGCGCAAGAACTTTTCTTTTAATTTAATTTCCCCCTCCCCCGCATATCTGTTTGCATATCTTCTGTCCTTTCTCTCATCATTTATGTCTGTTCTCCCCATCTTGTCGTCTCCTTAAAGTGATGGTGGAGGTGGTGGAGTGGAGAAGGCCAAGAAATAGTTGCCTTCAGTAACTGTTTCAGACTCTTGTTTGTGATGGGCTCCATGGTGAGAGGCTGTCCAGACCTTTCACTGTTGTTCAGCGCCTGCCGGTTTTCTGCACGCTGACAGGAACCTTGGAGTTTGGGCTTTAGTTTCAGCCCGTCGTGTTTTTGCAGTGTTTTTTGAAAGGTACAGAATGTACCACGGCAAACATCTAGGGGGTCTAGCATGCTGATGTTTGCATTAAAATACTTCCTTCTGTTTTCTTTCTATATTTTTACTTTTTTCTTTAATTTCTGTTTATTGCTCCTAGGGCTGCTATAATACAATAGTAAATACAAAGCTGTACTTTAGAATTTGGTAGAAATATGTTGATATGGGGAAACGGCATGGAAAAATGTTAGTGTTTTAAGACTTTTTACGCTAATCCCACTGTCGAAATGGGCTGTCTGTCTAACCTTCTTTTCCATCTACCCACCTATCAGTCCAACCAGCCAGTTTAGTTTTTTTTTCTCAGGTCTAATATTTAATGTCTGACCTCTGTTAAAATGGTAAACTTGGACATAGTAAACTTCTGAATTTATTCTTTAGAAAATGACTAAAACAGACTGACAGAGATTTCAGTCTGGAAAACTGGGATTTTGACATGAAAACTGTGTATGAACCCTGTGTACATGTGTCTGTGTGTGTTTGCTTGTGTGTCCATGTCTGGCAGGGCTTTGTGCTGTTTGAAACCATGCCTTGGGACCAGGCCCACACCTTCTCCGGAGCTCCTGTAATTGCTCTTTTGGGGCCTTGTCTCTGGCTCTGAGCCTGTCGCCATCACTCCTCCTGTCGTTTTTTTTTTGCCCTCTCTTTCTGCCTTCCTTCCCTGCATGGCTCATTATGGCTGATCCCCACCTGCCCAGTTAGGGAATTCTCTTCATACACATACACACTCTCAGTCAGTCATACATACAGAACCACTCAGCGGTTTTCAGAGCTGCCTGTCGCTCTGATGGTGTGTGTACTATCTGCTATAAAACAGCTTTGCTAATACAGCTTGGCCAAGAAATGGAAACAATAGGGCTATCAAATATTCTCCCCTCCTGCTGGTGCAAACAGTTTTTCATTTCTTTTGTGGCTGTCGGGGCACATTTTTTCATCAAACTCCGGCCCTTCAACAGCAGCTCCTGCCTTTGTACACATTTACTTCAGCTACAGGCCCTTAACCACAGGCTTCTTTTCTATTTTAATCCAGCTTTCCTTCTGCCATGTCACCCAGCAGCCCTTTCCGTGGCTATTCCCAGGCTAGTGGGCTTCGTTTGAACGATAATGGATGTGGCCAGTTGCAGCTGCTCAGCAGCAGGCACTATCACAGGACTTATCTAAGGACCTGAGAATGGCCTGTGATGAATGGCTTGGAGCTGTGTGTCTTCTCCGATCAATAAGCCACTAGCACCCAGATGAGCTAGATCCCTCCTCGTTCGCTCTCTTTCCACACACCCACCTCATCTGCTCATACATCTCCCCCTCATAATCTCCCGCTATGTTTTTGAACTTTTCCCTCCAGTTATTGCTCTGAATTGGGCCATTGATCTTTTATCTTTGACTTGTTTTAAATAAAGGTCTGATATCTCCTCCACCCGAGCATACAGACCTTCTGACAGTAGCCATTGTTATTCTGACAGCACACCCTTTAGGTCGAGCCTTGTGATCTGAGGGAGCACATATATGAAACTCTCCCAATCCCACAGCTCCTGTTAGGTTGCTATAGGTTTTCCAGAGGTACTATGTGGATTTATGCTTTTGTAAAGCAGAAAACAATTTCTGTGCTGTACTGTGGCTGAGCCTTGCCTGTCCTAAATAACCACAAACTGCTCCACCTTCTCTGAAACGAGACAAGATAGTTTGGCTTTTTAAAGGGTGTAGTGCAGATTTGTATACGTTTCTACAGCTCATCCATCTGAGTAAATTTGTTCTTGTTAAAATAAGGTGTATATCGTTCTTGTCATTGACATTTTGACATTGCTTCTTTGCTTTTATTCCACATCCGCCAGTTCTGCTTTGCATAGCTGCCACTGTCACATCCCTGATCATGTACCACATGACCATTAGAAAATGATCAACATGAGACTATATCGATTTAAGTGCTGAGATATCACACATCCCTACTTATTCTTTAGTTTCAAATGTTTTGGGTGTGGAGAAATTATACAAGTTCAGTCATTTGCAAAAGATTAATGAGTCGAAATTGTAGACCATATTTTTTAGAAAATCTATGTGGGATTGAATTTGCATATAAAAGCTCTAATACATATATGCACACTGAACACTATTTGAATAAGTATCCCCTCTAGTATCCTCCCAATATTTAGTATAGAAATTACTCACTTTTTTATCTTTATCCCATGACAGACACAAATCTGCCTGCATATGTGACCACTCTTTTAATCAGAATTGATTAAGCACATTTGTGTGGTTTGTGTCTTGGGAGTAAGCTTTTAGCTTAGTTTATCCATTTTTAGTGCAGTTGAGTTTTGGGACATTCTTGAAGCTTAAAGTTAGATCCCCCCATTCTAGCCTGAAACCACTTTTGATGATTGGATTTTTGCACATTTGAACTTGGGATTAGGAAGGACTAGGAGACTCCTCAACTAAAACTTCCCACATACTCTCATGAATGAGTCCAATGCCTTAAAGAAAAAGGTTTAATGGCCATACAAGGGAAACAAAGGTGAGATAGCAATCATGTTGGGTTGTTCATCATAAGATCTTAATAGTTACTCTGTCGTTTACTTTCACTGGTACTAATAAATTGCTCAAAAGTGGATAAGTAGTGGTCATTTGGAAACACCTGAAATCGACAAACAGATGATCGAAGATGACCGAGATTATGTTCAGATACAGCTGTACATGAGATTCTATGGTCTGTGCTTAAAAGCTGATTCAGGGAACCAACACAATGAGCTTTACCTTTGTCTCATAAGAATCTCAGCCAAATGGATTTCCCAAAAATCATTCACCCAGTTCGGTTTTTAAATGTTTAATTTTTTTTTTTATCATAGCAGCGTGAGAAAATAAATCATAGACATCTTGAAAAGTCCAATCTAAATCACGTTCATGCTGATGAGTTAAACTAAACTTCTGATTCAGAGTAGGTCGGCGTTTGATCTGCATTTTTTTTAAGTCGTTTCTGAAGAATTTGCGATCAAAAGAGCATAAATGAATATTTTTTTTTCCCTTCCATCCTCTGAGGACTTGTAGTAATACATCCTCCTCTCTTCCCTCTTGTTTCTGTCTCCTCCTATCTTTCCTCTCTCTTCTCTCCCTGTAGCTCTAATCTTCCCTCTGATCTGCTGTTGTCTCTGTCTCAAAGAGCAGAATCTCAGCTTGATAATTGCATGTCTGCCGGCCACCACACCTGTTGCTGTCACTGCAGCTGTGTTGGGGGAGCTGTGGAGGCGTTGCCCTCTGGCCTCTGCAGCTCTAACTCTCTCACCTCCACCACCTTTGCTACAGGTCTAAACCCTCAGGGATTTGGGGTTGAATTGGGCACTGCATACATGTGGAGTTGAGTGCTTTCCCACACTTGATTGTGTTTATCTATAACCTTCAGTTCCTAACTAAGCATATGTGTCTGTGTAAAGGTGTGCATGCGTTTTCTCAAACCTTCAACAGTACTGACAGTCTCCTCTCTCACCTTCTAATCTTCCCCTCTTTCTTCCCTCCAGAGCCCGAGCCCTTAATGAAGCTGGGGGTCAGCGGCGCTGTGTGGCTAATTGGCCAAGTTCGCCTGGGGCTACGGCTACCTGTGATTGAAGTGTCCAGTGAGCACCCACTGTGCAGCCGCTGCTGCACCCTTCTCTGTTCCACTCCAGCAGCCAAGACGCTCGCCGCTCTCCTGTCGGCCTCCCTCTAGTGAGTAGCACCCAAGGTCATTTTATTTTCACTTATCCTCTCATTTACTTGGTCTACTTTCCTCAATTTTTGTGCTTTTATTGAGTAGAGAAGAATCCTCTGGGTCCAGCTATTTTCTGGATCACAAGCTCTGCCCATCAGACTTTATTTTGGAATATTTGTCAAATCTTTCTCAATTTGTATTCTTTTTCTTTGAAGCTGTGTTTTTGCTGCTAGACTTGTTAGACTCCCACCTGTAGCCCCCCTATTTTCTCACTTTCTCTCATTCGCACTATCTCTCCTCACTAAACACAGTTGGATTTGAGTAATTTTTTATGGTCACCCATTGGGCACTAGCCAAGGTGGGAGGAACAAAAGCAGTTCAGCTCCTGATGGGTGAATCGCTCCCAAGCCAGGCCCCATTGTATCAAACTGCTATGAGTAAACAGCAGGATGGTGAGCTAATGGTGTGGAGGTGGTATAATTACAGAACTCCTATGCAGTAAGAACATGTACGGTATTTAAAATGGGTGTTTTCCAGGTCTGGACAAGGATCAAGAAGGAAAAGTGGATAGAAAAAATATTGTACTTCTAGATTTTATTTTCAATCCTCCCTACTAAAAATTTATCAAAGAAAAAACTGTGCATCATTGCTGTACAGCTTGGTGATTGTGTTTAACTATTTAACCTTTAGCTTTGGTTGGTCTATCTGTCCAAAAATATTTTCCAAAATTGTTGAAAAATTATGGTATTTTGCCTTGAAATGTGCAGAAACCAAGTAATTGCCTAATTTTTTACTTAGCAGTTTTAATTTTACTTGTATTTTTTATCAGTTTTCACACACCTCTGTGGGAAACAAAAGGATTCAAAAAAGGGGTCACTGAGGAAGTAGTTCTTATACCCAGCAGATAGTTGCCTACCTCACCTGGGAGATTTACTAGCAGTGCCAAACTATGAAATACTATGACTTTTTTTGTATGTTTCTTTCACTTATAGCTGTGGAACAATGCTGGGCAATAATTGGTCAGCACTCTCTCAGAAAACAATGGCCCAATTATAAGGCAAACCTTGTAAAAGTTGGGGGATGTTATAAAAGTTCTCAGTCCATGCTGGTAAAACTTTATTTGCATGCTATTAAGATCTCTAGTTGTTTATTAAGGAATATGAGTAATTAAATCTGCTCTGATGCTCATTAACTGAAGATCCTCAGTAATTAACTGCTGCTAGATTGGTTTTATAGAGAGCGCTGTTAAAACTTTTTCTTTTACGGGTTTAATTGAAGGGGAGAAACACTACACTGCTCACCTAGTCAAAGAGACAAATTAAGGTGAAGAACATCACAACAGAATTATGAATGATGTATTAATGCTTGCCAGATATTTATAACTTTTTTTCGGAAGCTGTTTCTGTGGTGTTCCTGAAGTCCCTAAGCCATCAAACGTTTGAGGAGTCCCTGATTTCTCTGGATGCCTCTTACTCATCTCTGCCTTGCTTGACAGATTACGGCTTTTCCCCCCCCATGCATCTTTCTCATTATCAGCTGTTTGGTTTGGTCATTACCGTTGTGCTCCACTTTCCATCAAATTTCCTGCAGTCCTCTGTGCCCACCAGCCAGCCCTCTGCTGTTACAGATAAATAAAATGTTGATAATTTCAAATCTTAGCTACCCCAGGTAGCAGAGCACAGGCATCTCTCCATCCCAGTTCTATTAAGTGAGCACAGCCAGAATGAAATATTTAAACTACACGTGTGACCCAAAATACATGCCATTAAACATTAATACTCCTTATTTATGGAGCTTTCGCTGTTTATCCCTTTTGTTGTTTACACTCTTCATCTCATGTCCCAGAAGATGGTGTAAATGTCATGGTAATGACATGCTTTTTGCTATCCATGAGGCTTAGGAAGTGTCAATCATTCTTCCCAGGAGGCTTTGCATTTGGCCCTACCCCAGAGCAAAGAGCTACATGGGGAATGAACAAATTAGCATGTGAAAAATCAAAAGAATATTTTTTTTCTAGTGAGAGGGTGGAACCCTCTGTATTTTACATGCCTGTGCAACAGAGTGTTGCAAATTCTAGAAATCAGGATTTAAGATTTTAAGTTGTTTTTTTTTCTTCATGCTGTATTTTAAATGGTAATCAGGCCTGGGGATGGATTAATATAGTTTTAAAAAACTTCCAATTTGTGTCTGACTTGCTGATCATCAGTTTTTGTTCATCTGTTACATGTTTATTACCGACTTTAGCCGATTCCGCTTTCTCTTTCAAAATTGGAGTAATAGAAATTGTATTTATCCTTCCTCATTTATTTTACAAGCAGATGTGTCTGTGTGTTTGAGAGTGCAGTCACTGGAACACAGGGTTTAACTGTATTAACACAAGTGCTTAATGATTATGCAGTTGACTTTTTAAACTGTGGTTTGCAAGAAGCCCTGTTAGTGTGGCAGGCATTGCTAAAGCAGCAGTCTGTGTTTATTCCTTTGAGAAAGTGGAGCCTCGTCTAAACACAGTGTATCACAAAAGGCTGCCGGCTTGTTTTCTACCAGACAAAGGTTTAAAGTTTGAATGGATCAGACAAAAGCACCTCTATTTTATACTCCTTTTCTATGTGCTGAACATACCGCAGACATGTCCCAGCATGTCCTGCAAAACGGTTTCCCTTTATGTAGCTTTTCTCTCCTCCTTTGCTTTTATTTTAATGAAATGTTTGATTGAAAAAAAAACAAAAAAAAAACACAATGAAACAACCGCTGCAAAGCGTTGAGTCTTTAGTCAGTAATAGCAGCCACACCAAAAAGTGTTTTGTGGTGTCTTCACTGATCGGTAGAAGATAAGATTTTTAATTTTCCGGTCAACGGTTAGAGCAGGTCAAGCTGAAAATAGGCTGGTTCTGGTTAGCAACTGATTTCTCTGTGCATCTCCTTTTAAAATTATTCTTTATATCATTAAACTTTGGAAAACCTCCACATATCTTTAGAGTTTTAATGATGAAAAAAATCCTTATTTCAAATTATTAAAAGTTAACCTTTCTCTTCTTTTACACATGGGGATATTCATACATACATTTGATATGCTAAATGACTGGAATTCATTGTTTGTTTTCCTCCAAAGGATATTATTCCCATGGTATCAGTGACTTTCATACTTAGGATTTAGCTCATAGGAGGAAAACCAAAACTGTTTATTTTTATCTCCAATGATAATTGAATAAGCTAAATCTCCAACAAGTTTTTGAATGCTACAGCTTATATAGATACCTAATAAATGTTAAGAGTTGGTTAGAAATTCCAATATGTCCTCCAGACATGTGCTACATCTTAGGCTTTGTAGCCTTGGGCTAAAACTGAAACGGGACCACCTTCACTCAGTCTCGCTTAGTCTTGCTCATCAGACTCTGCAAATGTCATGTCCTTGTGGTACCAAAATAATATAAACCACCTTGTTCCTGACTCATCACAGGCCCCTGGCCCTCCTCCTGCAAGCTCCTCCACCTCCAACATGGTTCTGCAGCGTTCCAGTTTTCCATTGCCTCCTGCGAATATCCAAGCTGTCGAGTCAGACCGGGCTGAGCGTTTCCTTGCCAGGGCACAGTTGGAGCAGATCCGGCCTCCAGGCCACATATACTGCTCCACTCCAGGCCGTGCAAACAAGGCCTGCCCTGTGCAGCTGTCATCTACACGCTAAGAGCTTTGGGTTTTTACAGCGCATTCCTTTCAGAATTACTTTTTCAGTTTTTGCAAGCGGTTATCTGTTTGGGATGAGATAGCTCTGCATGCTTTACAGCTTTCTGAGCGTGAGTTTCCGTTTCAGCTTATTCTATGAATCACTGAATCTGCAGTGAATCATGGAGATCAACTCTTTGTTTATCACCAAGGTGTGCTATTGGAGATGTCTGTATAGCTGATGCAGATGCCTTTTTTGTTTGCTCTGCCTATTTGGTATCTTTTACAAAGAGATGTTTTTTTTTTTTGCAGGTGTAATAGCTGCGGTCTTTCAGTGGATTGTAAGAGCTATAAAATACTTTGAGTTAATCACCACATCTGCAGCTTTTGTTAGGCTTGGAACTGTGGCCCAGAGGAATTATAGGAACATGGCTTGAGCAGCGAAGGGAGAGTGACTGGATTGCTTGTTGAAAGACTGATTCCAGACGAGCCTCTCAAACAGTTTGATGTCAAATCCACAGACATACAAATCTCCACGATGATCTGCCAAGTTTCCACAGAAATCACTGGAGCAGGAATAGCTGAATTTCACACCCCCGCCCTCAGCCCTCCTTTTTCTTCCCTCCTGTCAGCCATCACTGGACACAGCTTGGAAGGAGTGGGTGATGGGGAACATCTGTGAAAATCAGTCTGGTTGAATAAACTTAACCGATAAAGCTGGTGCCTTATTTTTTTTATAATATATTTTAGGATACCTTTAAAATAGATGCAGTTTAGTTTAAGTGTTTGTGCACAGCACATGCTGTTGAAAGACTGAAATTTGTACTGCTACTGTTGAAGACAATGCACTTCCTACGTAGTTGGATAACTTCCTGTTCCTGATAAAAACAAAGTCATAGCACTTCCATATTGGCTTGATTCCCAACTTTTTGCATATGGAGTGCACCATGAGTCCTGTTTTTCACAGGGTTACTAGTTAAACAACTTTTGAGAGAATGATTCGGGTCTCTGAAGGTTCCTCTGCAGCTGCCATAGATGTGAGTAGTAGGAGTAACTGAAGTCTCTTTTTATTTGGTTGCTCTGTGGAATATAAATAATGAAATGGAGCTCGTAATTGGTGGTTCTCTGTAATTAGGACCAAGCTGTCAGCTAGTGAAGTTGCCTCAGTCTGATAGCACAGCAGCAAGGGCAGTAATTACTATTATCTATGGGGGTTTGTTGACACAACAATAATCCTCTCCTCAACCAGGATGGTAGGGCTTATATTTACTGTTGCCATTATGTAAAGGTTCAGGGAGAAAATTGTGATAAAGACAAATCTTTTAATATTTGCTTTAAGAATCTGTCAAGTGAGCAA